TTTGTGTTCATATTTACAGAGAGGCTAACCAATTGGCGGATGCTCTTGCAAAGCTTGGTTGCTTAGTGTGTCAGAAATATGTTTATGATTGCACATATACTCTTCCTTCACACGTACAGAACTTGATTAGAGCAGATGGTCTAGGTTTTCCTTTTTTCAGAATCCGTTGATTCTAGGTTGCCTGGACACTTTATGTTTATATGAGCCAAGCTTCCTTTGTATAGAGCGAGGGGTAAGGCTTCACGTCCCCCCCTCTAAGGTTTTTTACATATCAATAAAATTTCGGTGGTCGCCCCTCCACCGAGAGTTAATTTTGAGGCTAAAAAAATAATAGTAATAATAATATACTTATTATTATTATTATTAATTTCATAATTATTAATCTATATTACTTAATAAAGACATGGAATAAAAAAAAATATTCAAATTACCACTAAATGAATGAACTAAAAATCTAAGAATATTCTAATTGACTTGAATTTGACACATCAACATGCCCAAAATTATAATTTGAACCTACATTTCCTATTTCTATCTCCCAATTCCCATAATTCAAACATACCATTAGGTTATGTACATGTTTCCCTACCTCTTTCCTAACGATAAATTCAAGCCAATCTACGTGCACTGTGGTGAGCTTAGACTTAAAATTCATAACCATAATTGACCAAAAGAAGTGTTGCCACCTAAATTGGAGGTGAATTCCATACTCAGCATGGTCCCATTATTCTCCTTTCTTTCATGTTTCTTTTGCAGGATGGGCTTTGGAGTCTTGATTATATTATCAGTTGATTGTATCCATACATGATGATGACTTGATTGTAGTCATATATTTTTCATCTCTTACTTCAGAGCATGAATGCATATGCAAATGTTTGGCATGGACTATTTTTGTTAGCAGCTCTTTGAATGATTTTCTTCCTTCTTTGCCTCTTTGAATATATATTTAAATGCCTTTTATCCATTCATATGTTCCTAAATATTAAGCAATATTGGTGATATTGTTGTAAACATCCATCTAATTTTACTATTTTACTATTTTATAAATAGATTAATGATTTCAAAGTTATTGATACTTTTTTGGGGGGTGGGTTGCTCAATAGGACATTAGATTTTTTTATTGTTAAATAGTAAATTTTAAATTAAATGATACTATAGTTGCCCATTACTTAGTATGGGGTCATTGTCTAGATAAAACATGGTAAGTCTCTTAAATCAAATAAAGAGCCTACCCTAAATGTCTATTATAAATAATTAAAAAATCAAATAATTCAAATTAAATCAAATAATTACTTGCTAAAAATTACTGGATTAAGTAAATAATAATAACAATCAATTATTTATAGAAATAATTAATAATAATAACAATCATCAAGTACTTAATTAAGTAAATAATAAAAAAACAAAATAACAATCATCAGTTATCATTAATGTTTTTTCAAAGCATGCCCCATAATAATTACCGAAAATAGTAATTAAACCTTAAATAAGAATCAATATTTATTAAAAGTCATTAAAATTGTTAAGCCGAATCGTTAATGTTTATTCTTAAATACAAAATATGAATTAACAAATCTATTATATAATAATTATACTCGGTTGGAAAAAATATTTAAAGTAAATATTTAAATAATTACAAATTTAGTTATTATTATTACTATATAACAAAAATTTTAAATTAAATACTAAAATCAATTAATAATAATAATGATAAGAATGGTTAAATTAAAGTAATAAACGGTTCAAGTTGAATTTAATGACCCATATAATTTTATGGGTTTGACATATAAGGGTCAATTTATGTGGACATGTAGACTGTATGAATGTCTTAAAAATGGCAGTTTATAAATAATAATAATAAATAGTAATAAAAATCATTAATATTTATTCATATATATAATATATATATATATATAATTAACTTCCCCGTACTTATTACGGGGTCATTCACTAGTATAAACTCAAAGAAAAATATAAGCTTTGTATAAAGCATTTTGATACAGTTCTATTATTATATATTCACCATATTAAACAAAATAAATGTGAAAATAAGAATTACTTTTATTGATGATGAAAATGGAATAGATGATTTAAAATTAACTGAAAAAGCAAAATGTTTTTTTTTTCCATCCAAGTGGTGGGGTTAGTGATTAAACTATCCATGTCAAATGGATTAGCACATGGTGTTATTATTAAATAATAAAATACATAAAATTCTAGAAAATGTAGAAATTTGTCGATAATTATGGGCGCATTCCATAATATTATATATTCATTATATATAAAAGTGTGATTAATGATAATTATTTTCAATAATGATAGACATGGGATAAAAATTATGATAAGAAATAAAGAACATTAGTGTCTAACACATGACCCAACTAAACATGTCAAATGGTTCAATAATTTAATTAGCTAAGTCATCGTAGGCAAGTGGTTTAGTAGGGATGCAAATAGATGAGATCATATTTGAATGAGGGTATATTCAAATCTGATCTGATCCAAATATTCGACCAGATCTCATAAATATTGATTCGAATCCAAATCCAATCAAGATGTCGAATATACAAATCTGGTACTATCTGATTTAATTTTAAAAAAAAATGATAAATTATTAGAAGAAAAAAAAAAATATAACAATTGAAATAAAAAACAAAAAACATAAGTATTTTCAACTACTTCCATCATATAAAAAGCTTACAAAAATGCAATATAAATAAATAATAAATAACATATATATTATATATAAATAATTGATTTGACCACAATATTAAAAACCAATGTATTAGAATTTCATTTCCTCTTGGTAATTAAATAATTTTTATAATCTCATAAATTAAATAATAAAAAATAAAAACATATAATCTTTTTTATAAATTTTATACAAAAATTGAACATACATCAATATTGTATATTCTTCATATTAAACAAAAAATATGTTTGAAAAAATAAAAATTATTATTAGTAAAGATATAAATGGCTAAAATACAAAGAAAAAAATGAATTAATGTCTTAATCATAGTCCATTTTCTTGGTTAAATAGGTTAATGGTTCAACCAATAAGGTCATTTGATTGCTTATTATTATCATCATTATCATTTGATATTGCTACGTGTAAATCCCCATCTCCGTCCCCGTCCCCGCTAATGGGGACAAGGTTATCCCCATCCCCGTCTTCATGGTGATCCCCATTCCCCGTGATTTTTTTATAATGTTAACCATTTTTTTATTTTAAAAAATAAAAATTAAAAAATTTAAATTTAAAATCCTAAAAGAAAAGATTCAAACATATTCAACCATATTTTTAAAAATATTAATATATAGATATATGTGTACATATATACATATATAACGTATGCATACATATATGCATATATATTAGTGGGATCCCAAGGGCGGGGGTCGAGGTCCCCACGAGGCAGGGAATGCTCTCCCTGTCCCCGCTAATGGGGATGAAAATTTCCTTATCCCCATCTCCACAGGGGGAAAATCATCCCCATCCCCACCCTATTCAAGGTGGATCCCCAAGGGGATTGGGGAAATGGGAAAAATTGTCATCCTACTTGTAAAAATAAATGCAAAAATAAAAATTACTTTTATTAATGATGGAAATGTAATACATGATTTAAAATCAACCGAAAAAGGAAAAAAAAAGTGTTTTCCATCAAAGTGGTGGGTTAGTAGTTCAACTATCCATGTCAAATGGATCAACACTTGATATTATTATTAAATAATAAAATACATAAAATTCTAGAAAATGTAGAAACTTGTAGATAATTTTGGCTACATTCTATAATATTATATATTCATCATATAAAAAGTGTGATTAATGAGAATTATTTTCATTAATGATAGAAATGAGATAAAAAATAAAGAGAATTAATGTCTAACACATGACCCCACTAACCATGTCAAATGGTTCAATGATTTAATTAGCAAGGTCATTGTAAGCAAGTGGTTTGGTGGGTATTAATTTGATTCAATACAAAGGTCTTATCGGATCTCATAAATATTGATTCGAATATGAATCCGATCAAGATGTTGTATATCCAAATCTGATACGATCCAATTAATTTAAAAAATCATAAATTATTAAAAAGAAAAGAAAATAGAATAGTTGAAATAAAGAAAAACAAAAAATATTGTATTTTTCAACTATTTTTACTATATAAGAAGTTTACAAAAAAAAATAATAAATGACTATTAACAATGAATTGCAGTAAAAAAGGATTCACTGATGGTTATAATTATTTTTTCCCTGAAACTTAGGCGAAAATAGACAAAAAAAACCATAAACGAACAATGTTAAATTTAATTGAGAATAATTACATTCAATTAACTTAATAAACAATAACTTATTAACAACCAGTTAACTTGGGGCCCGTTTGGTTTGGTTCTTGGGATCAGGAGTCTGAAATCTGAATAGGAATAGACCATTGCAATTGCAATTATTTGGTTGGGCAGAATGGGAATGGTCATTCCCTCTCCGTTGGGAATAAATCCCATTCCAACTGATTCCAATTTTAATTTCGACCATAAACCAAATGGACCCTAAATACATGTACCTAAGTACCAATTTGCCTCTGCTGATAGCCTGATATACAAAGGCGTACCGATATTTTCAACCTTGGATACAAAGTCTGATATACTGACAACATTATATAATTTACAATTTCTTCCATTAATTTTTTCCCAAGGCAAATAATATAACTTTTACATTACCCTTCTTTTCAATCCCACATCTGGGTATAAGGCTTTGTCGTGTATGGCACGGACCGTCGGACCCTACTAGTAAAACTCGAAATGATTTTTATAAGTGAATGTGAATTTGAATCATGAGAATGCTTAAGCCAGCTAACATGTACAGTGTGGGAACCTAGAAAACAGCCTTAAGCTGTTTTTTTCTCCAAACTGCCAAAGTTTTTCGCTGTTATTTAACCACATGGTCCACATCTTACTCCCAACAGTCAATTATGTATTATGTTTAAACTACCAAAAGATTAGCTCTGGAAACTAAAAACAAAATAACTTTAATAATTCTTTGCCATTAGGCTGAGTTCAATGAAAAAAATCAGTAGGATAAAAATATATTGAATAGACTACGTTACGTATCCACACTCCCTCAACATTAGCATTCGGCCACACAAAGGACAAAACGTACTGTGGCCAAATCAAAAGGGGATAATAGGTTCCTGCAATCTGCTATACAATTTTGCATAGCCACGGCGGGTTTGGCAGAGCCATTCCCAGGAAGTAGAACGATACTAGATTTTGTGAATCACCTTCTAAACAAATGGCCGAGAGACCTAATTCCTTAGCAAATTGCAATTCATTGAAAAAAAAGCCCAAAGCTTCAACCTCTCCTCGGGTTAGAACAGAAACTAATTGCTCTCCCCATGACAAAATGAACGCCCTTCTGAATGAGAAGCCATCGTCATCGACGCCGACAGACCTAACTCCTTAGCAGATAGCAATTTATTGAAAAAAAAGCCCAAAGCTTCAGCCTCGCCTCATGGAACAGAAACCAATTGCCCACCCCATGATAACAAACGACCATAAGCATCAATTATAACTAATACCAGCTCTAGCCCCTCCTGGAAGAGAAGCACCCATCGAAGTTGGTTTTCAAGATGCTGTTGGCTGGTTTCCTCCAAATGGAATCATTGTGATGATCTGGAGTGACCCTGTGGATGCCAATACCAAGTGAGTAAGCGATGATGCTAAAACTAAACAGAAATGATAATAGGTTCACGTTGCTTCTATCAAAAAAACCTCTATGTTTACAACATTTGCCTTTGGAGTTTCCCAGTTGAGACGTTTTAACATTACATTAGAGAAGCTTCATCTTATAAGTATTACCTACAAAAAAAATATATATTCTCTTATGAAATTGTAATATACATACTAATGGAGAACAATGGGCAGTATGACAAGGGATAACCTAATCCAAAGTGAAGAATTTTTAGGCTTAAAATACAACAGTTTCTTTTTTTGGAGAAAACTGATCCTTTTTAATTGCTTTAAATACCTTGTTTTCTGGGTGCAACAACAGATCAGCTATAATCCTCATGCGCAAGTATGGAATATGATCCTATACAATATATAATATACAAACCAAACAAAATGGACTTCATTAGGAAATAAGGCATTAAAAAAAGAAAGAAAGTTATAGAAACTCAATTTTCAATTACCTGCGCAAAGGACTTCATTAGTCGTCCATCCCAATACTCCATATAACATATCATGAATATACCACAATCATAACTGTTACAATAACAACCACCATTTAAACATCTGCATCTGATCTGTTATGGATACTAAAAATGTCAAAGCTAATACTAAAGACGTCAATTATTAAATCAATTACTTGGTTTTTTGAATAGGAAGTTCAGGAAGTAGCACAGGCCATTCTGTAATCCCCATGGGTCTTCCACTCAAGCTACTCATTATTTCATTACAAGCTTCTTTCTGGAAGTTAAACATAATCATTGATTAGCACATGGCAACAGGTGATGACAAGAACAATTAAAACAATATTTACTGCAATACAAACCATTCTAGACATATAATTAAGCTCTACAGTGAATCCAGACATTGGTAAACTGTTAAGAACTTCCACCCTCTTGTCTCTTAGATTTATGACATATACGAACCAGTGGGAATCAACACAAAGGGGGATGAATAACTGTTTGCAAAACATTATAGTTAGTTGTACTTCCAAATTAATTTACCCATTATGTGTGTTATCGAAGACATACCAATTCACATTGCAACAAATCATATTTAAGTATACTTGGTTGATAAAAAGCTTTCAACTCCTCAAGACTTGGGGGTTCCTCTATTAGAATCTTTTCCTGTATTCACAATTAGGAACTTGGTAGATAAGAGATGGTAGGTCATCTTAGTGAATTAGTGTATGTATAAATTGAAATCTTACCGCAAAATATGTGGGAAAGTAATGGCGTTTTACCAAACCATTAACAAACTGTTCATGCACGAGTACATCCACCACACAATTCACAACCTACATGAGAAACAAATCTTTGTATTTTAACTCCTTGTAATAGAGATTAATATACAATGTGAAACACCATAGTGTGTCTTGATAACTTACAGCACTAGAAACCCACTTGCCATCTCTCATGCAAAGAAGCTCCGACCTCGTTAGGTGAGACTTCCATAGAATTACCAAATTTTCACTATATAAAAGGATATTGTTATATAGAGTAATTAATGTTATATGTGAATAAAAATAATAACAACAACAACAACAATGCATCTGCTTACTCAAGTGGTCCAACAGGGTTAAATAAAGCATATATAATTGCTTTTTTCTCCAACTCGGTAAAAGAAGGAAAATCTAAAGCATGTGGAAACACCACGTCTGTCTGCAAATAAGAAAAGGCATAGTTACTACAAAGTTGAGAAAGCCTTTGAAAACAAAGATTTATTTCAGGTTAAAAGAAAAAAAAAAGGCACAAAGTATTAGTGCCACAAAATGCATAATGATCTTTATATTTCATTCCCGACCATAAGTGCAACATTTTAGAGATCAAGTTGCAATATCTACATCTCAAGGTGCATCTTGTGAAAATGGTAACGGAAAACATGTTTCTGTACCAGAGTTTTTATTAATATATTATTAGGAAGTCCATAAAGAGACAAGGATTTTAATTAGAAAAAGAAAATAAATTGATTTACATGAAAACTTTGGTATTAGTCTTGTCCATAAACTAGGATTCTGATATAGCGTTACAAGCAAGGTTTTAAAAACCGACCCGGAAACGGAACTTTTGTGGCCACCGGTTTCCAGGACAGTGGTTCAACCATCCGGGTCGAACGGTTTGGACACTTTGATTATTAGGACAAATATTATTACCTATTCTTAGACTTTTAGTCTTGTATGAGAAAAGAGAGGTTGGTTGTTGGCTGAGCAAAACAAAAGAAAGAAGAAAAGAAGGAAAGAAAGAAAGAAAGAAAGGAAGAAGAGAAAGGAAAAAAAGGAAAGCAAGGGGAGAAAGGAAAGAAAAAGAAGGAAGAGGAGGAGGATTCAACGTTCACCAGCACAACGACGGCGAGGCGGGGGCAACAGAAACATCTCTCTCTGCCGTATCTGGGATCTAGCGATCTCAGATCTTAGATTGTTCCTGTCTCGGTTTCTCCCCTCTCTAATCTCCTTGCAACTTTATTAAACTGCGAATCTGTCAGGGTCGACGGTTCAACCGCCCGGGTCAATGGTCCTCTGACCAAGTCAACAGTTTTTTGGTCCAGGAACAGGTTAAGGGTGAAATGGAACCGGTTGCCTGGATGGTTTTTGGGCCGAACAGTCCAACCGTCCGGGTCAATGACAGTTCAAAAACACTGGTTAGAAGATTTCAGGCACCCAAGCCTATCCAGAAACATGTTAACTGTACCTAAGACACAATCTCTTGAGGAAATAAAAAATAAAAGAAATGAATCATGAAAACATGTCAATTATTCTTGTAAAATATAGGATTAAGATTATTTTCAGACTTTAACCATCAGTTGAAGATAATAAAATCAAGTAAACTTACCAAAGATAGAGTAAATCATCCTATAATGCATTATAATTTACCAAAATGATCACATACTGAATAGGGTGAACAGACTACTGCATAGACTTTTTTGGAAAATGATTGGGTATCATCTCAAAGCTACATTACCTCTAAATCTTAAAATTCTCATATTTAAGAATGTAAATCTACCATTGTTCAATGTAATGTAATTAATAGATTTTAAAGCATCAAATCTAAAATTTATTACTAGTTGAATTTATAGATCATTCAGGGGAATTCGGTCATGCCAAATGAATGATAAATTTTATTACTATTTCTTAGATTCTTATGTTGGGGACTTGGGGTAGGGGTGAAAGTTTTGTGAGGCTGGGTTTTCATATTAGGGCTGAATTGAAGCTCAGGCTGCAAAAGATAAACCCAAACTCATTTTAAGTTGGGCATTGGTTGACTCATCGGGTAAGATACCTTAACTTGAGCAACATGCATACATGCTAACATGAATTGTGATAGCAGTTGGGCTATTTTCTTGTTATTGAGAGGTCTATAGTTGGAAATTCCTCAAGCTTAACAGTTTGACATTTTGAGGCTTTCTAGCAGAAATTTGGAAAACCAACCTCATAAAAACCTAACTCAACCTGGGCTGCGTTACCACCTACTAATGCATATATAGCTAATGTCAGTGGCTCAAATTCATTCCTAGGTTTCATACTCGATTCCTAGGGTTAGGCTAGGGTTGGCCTTAAGCATGTCAATGTCCATTCAAGTTGCATCGCTTTGTATGTAGGAGAATAACTGCCAAGATCAATTACATACCTGAAAATTGATCGCCTCTTCGGTGTGGTCCATGTTTGCTTCAGGCATTCCAAAAGATCTTTTAATTTGGTGTGACAGCAAAGTGAACCCCTGGAGCATTTCTGACTTGCATTCCTTCAATTGTGTGCTTGTTAATTGCTCCAGCTTCTTCATTTTCAGCTCAACGGCTTCAAGATGTTGCAATGGTTGCAGTTGAGCCTCGATACTTCTTACCCTTTCGAGAATCTAATGATAAGATACTTATCAGGTCTTATATATGCTAACCATGTATAAGAAGGTACTATTTAAAAATGCAATGTTTAAAGAAAGAACATGATTAAAAAGCCAAGGATTTTTGGGTATGATAAAAGCAAAGTTTGATATTGAATATATAGAGTAATCATAAAATCATTATACACAGTTATCCAATCTCCATATCAATCAGTACTATTGTTGTAAAAATACATTGGATTATAACCCCATTGATTGATAAGAGACATCAACAATAAAATAGAGACATTAATCCATGGTTATTAATTATTTTTTGGAAGATTTTGGACCCAAAGTGGCTGAACTGAATTGCTTATTACTTTATCTCTTATTGAAAAACATAGTATGTAATGAAATATTTAGATGTATAGTTTTTTGATAAACATGCTAATTTTATTAATAAGAGAAAAAGGTGTACAGTCATCCTAAGAGGAGGCACGAGATGTTACCTCCCCTTAGGAATGAGGATATAAACACACTCTTGACAGAAATACACTTATAAAGTAGACCAGAACAATTCACCCCTTGAAGCCCCTTGTTTAGACAAAGAATCAGCCATAGCATTTGCTGATCTGCTAACCCAATGGAAGCTTACTGTCATGTTTCTTGTCAGCCACTTAACTTTCTTGAAAAGATCCCTGTAACCCCAGAAAACCATATCAGGATCTGACAACCAACCTACAACCACCTTAAGAGTCCCCCCCAACTATCAAGTGCTCCACTCCAAGTTGGTTTGCAGCCTGTATTCCTTGAACTGTAGCCAATATCTCAGCCCTTGTAGAGTCACCAACTTCCACTGATCCAGAGTATAGGGATAAGATGTTATTTGCTATCATTATCTCTCAAAACCCCTCCTATGCCTGAGGGCCCTGGATTACCTTCAAAGTTCAGCTTAACCATTCCCTCTGGAGGAGGTTTCCATTCAGCTTTTACACTATTCTTTTTGGAGGTTGTGGAGGCCACCTCTGCCCAGCTTTTCCAGAGATCATCAAAGGAATAATTCATAAAAAGATCTGAAGTTTTCACCCAAAAAATTCTTCTTGTCAAGATGCACTCCGATACTTCGGCTAGGCTTTTTTCCTTTTCTTGGAAAATTTGGCATTCCTCTCCTCCCAAATGGTCCACAAGATAGCTGTTCTTACGCACTTCCACAATAATTTCCCTCTCTTTGTTGGCCACTGAAAGGTAGTCGGATCAAAAAGCAAATTGGGCAAGTTCCACCTGCACCCAAACATCATGAAAACCCAATTCCAAATATGCAGGAAAAGCACAAGAACAAAATCCCACCTAGCCAAATGGTCCTTTTTCTCTTCAATTGGCTCCCATAAAAAATCCCTCATCAATTTTTCTATCCATTTTGCTTGCTTGTTAAGTATCCTAAAGACTGAAAAAAAAATAGATTGGTAGGCTGGCAAGTGTTGCCCTGATTAAAGTTGCTCTACCCCCTAAAGAAATGTAATTCTTCCAAATTGCCAACCTTTTTTTCAAATTTTTCCACCACGGAGTTCCAAAAACAGCTTTCCTTTGAATTAGCACCTAGGGGAAGTCCTAAATAGGTCAAAGGCCACTTAGACCAAGTACAATCTAAATAGGCAGCTATCGATTCCATCACCTCCCCAATTAGGTTTATCCCTACCACACAACTTTTCTCAAAATTGATTTTTAAGTTAGAGGCACTTTCAAAAAGAATTATTAGATTTTTCAAATTTCTCACCTTCATCAAGTCAAAACCCTCACAAAAAATTATGATGTCATATGCAAACTGAAGGTATGTTACTGGAATTCAATCTCTATCTATTCTCCATCCTCTTATTGACCCAGCCCTGTCCGCTTATGATAATAGTTTGCTAGGAAAGATTCATTGACAAGCCCATTAACTAGAATTGAGTAATAGCAAGAGGTAAGGAAACCATTGATCCCATTGCACCATCTATCCTCAAAACCACACTTTCTTAGCACCTCCAACAAGAAGCTCCAATCCACTAGATCATAGGCCTTTTCAAGATCAAATTTACAGACAAAGCCTTTATTACCCGATCTTCTCCATCTCCTCCACACACTCATTTGCAATTAAGATTTGATCTATTATTTCTCTCCCCTGTACAAAGGCACCTTGGGCTTAACCGATAATAGAGGGAAGCACCTTTTTGATCCTCTGTGATAGGACCTTGGCCATGATCTTGTAAATGCTAGTCACCAAACTAATAGGTCTAAAACCTTTTGGATGTTTAGCCTCTTTTTCTTTGGAATCAGAGCTAGGAAAGTAGCATTAACTCCATGACTTATAACAGCCTTATCCTCAAACTCTCCAAAAACCTTAAACAAGTCTTCTTTAATTATGTTCCAACAATCTTGAGAAAATTTCTTGCCTAACCTCCTCCTCAAATTTTCTTTCTAGCCAACCTTTGTACTCTTCAAAAAGTCTCGGCAAACTCACTTCTCCCAACTCCTCTCTAATGCCAAATGGCCTCCTAAAAATTGATTTGAAATGAATCACAAAACAATTGGTTATCTCTTCTTGAAACTCAAAGACCGAACCATCTACTTCAAGTTTAGACATTAGATTTTTCCTCCTTCCATTGGCTAATTCATGGTTTCAAATGTTGCGACATTTCGCTAATGTCGCCCGACATATGTTGGTGTCGAGGCTCACCGACATGAAAATGGATGGTAATATAAAAATTACATTATTTCGGTCGACATTTCCTATATTTTAGAAATGTCAACCAAATCGGTCCAAAAAACAAAAAGAAAGAAAAAAAAAAAAAAAAAAAAAAAAAAAAAAAAAACAGTTTTCCTATTATGTTGACGGGCATGTTGACTAACGTACAGCAAGAGGAAAGAAGGGTTTCAGAGAAGAAGGGGTTTCATAGAGAATCATCGCACACCCATTGAAGCTTAACAAAGAAACAAGAGGAAAGAAGGGTTTCATAGAAGAAGGTGTTTTTTGTTTACAACTTTACGTACCTGGAGGCTGGAACAAAGCTTGGTTTTGGATTTGAATCAGCAACCAATTGGAGACTTGGAGGCTGAATCGCTGGAGCAAGTGAGCAACAGCCAACCAAAAATTGAGGCTTTTCATCTCAGCCATTCTCGAATCTCAGGTAAGAGTTAGCAAACCATCTTCCAGATTTTTTAGGAGGAAAAAAAAGAAAAAAAAAAAAAACTTGAGGTGAAGTCGTGAAGAAGATTTTTCCATTGGAAGCCTAGAACTTGAAGCATGAAATCTGATCTTCTTTTTCATGCCTTCAAGTTTCTGGCTTTCTGCAGCTGTGAAGGACAGAAGGTTTAAGTGCGTTGCAGAGCTGCAGCTAGATGAGCCTCTCAGATTTACTCCCTCTTTCCAGTGTAATCCTTAATGTTAGATTATCTCCTGTTAAGTAGCTTAAAAGTTTTACTATTATGTGTGATAGTCTACGAAATGTCCATAGACCGTCACAACAGATATATTCTGGTGTTCTACAGTAGATGAAGGTCTACCGTAATATTGTAGATCTTCAAAAAAGATAACAAATGAAATGTTAATTTAATAATATAATATATTAGTATATTATATTAATATAAATAATTCCATTAACATATGCTGTATTACATTATGTTATATTTAAAATTTAATATAAATTATTCTATTAATAATTTATATTTAATATTTCAAAAAAAATATATTTATAAAAAAGAACTAAAAAAATAAAAAAAGAATAAATCAATTACTTTATAATATAAAACATAAAATATTTTTCAAGTAATAAAATATTAACTACTTAGTATTTTTAAAATATTTATTAAAAATCAGAAAATGTTTATTAAATTTTATATTAAATCATAATTTATTATAATTTTAGTATTAAAAATCATAATAAATTCATTAAGTTTTATAAGAAATCAGAATTTATTAGAATCTTAATACTAAAAAAAGGAGAATCAGTTTATTAAATTTATAATAAAGCATAATGTATTATAACTTTAATATTTAAAAACAACAGAATAAATGTATTTTTATTTACTAGTGTGAAATAAATATATTAGAATTTATAATAAATCAGAATTAAAAATAAGAAAAAATCAGATAACCTTGTAAAAACATCAAAATGCATAACAAATCAGTATATAAGTTAAAACTTATTATAATAAAACAGTATATTATTTAAATACATAAACAATTTAGGTGTTAATTGTTTACTTTTGAAGTCTATAGTACAACTTCGTCATTTACTAATTTATTATTGATCCTTAGTTTCTTAGCTTTATATAATGGTTGGGAATAAGATAATAGTCTAGAAATATGTATTAATGCTTCTTTTATCATTTTACAAAATATCATTGCATATTTCCACATATTTCATAATATTTCCACAATGTCTCTAATTTTTACAATATTTCTCCTCGATATTTCTGACATACGTCCTATATTTTGGTAAGTGACATTTTTGTCGACATCGACATTTTAAACCTTGGGCTAATTCATGAAAAAATTTAGTGTTGCCATCACCTTTCTTGATTCATTTACATCTGGATTTTTGCCTCCATGAAATTTCTTCACGCTAAATGACCTCTTCTAAATCTCTCTTCAACTTCCACCTCAACTCTCTTCCTACAAATTCATTATTCTTTGGGACTCCTTCACATCCAGTTCCTCTATTTGAACCATCAAACAAGATTTCACTTCATCTATTCTCCCAAAATGATCCCTATTCCATTCTTTTAATTTTTTATCTTAGGCTTCTCATTTTTTTCTGAAAGTTCACCCCACTTATTTCTACCCTCCACCATTCCTTAGGGGTGCAACTTGGGTGGGCACAACCCGAGCCCAAACAGGCCCAACTTAAAATTTTACACGTGTTGGGCTTGGATTTTTAGTCCTCAAGCCTAGGAAGTCGTGTTTTTTTATTTTTTGGGTCAAGCCCGAGCCTAGCCCTTAGGTAGCCCAAGCCCAGCCCAACTATATGTAAATTTTCCATACATATTTACATGTACATAAATATATGTATACATATTTGCATAAATATACATATATGTATAATTTTAGAATGGGTTCATTGACCAACCCAAGCCCGGCCCAGGCTCAAACCCAACCCAAGTGCATCAAATTACAAAGCGGGCCGGGCTCGGGATGGGAAAATAGGGCTTGACCTCGGGCCCAGTCCGAGCTCAGACCTTAAGCCCAAATTTTACGGTCGAGCCCGGGTGAAACATAAACCCAACCCGACCTGCTCGACTTGCACCCCTACCATTCCTTAATGTTCTTCAAAAAACCAGGTGTGTCGACCACATGTTTTCAAATCTGAATGATCAGGGTCCATACCTACAAGGTTCCTGTCCTAGATCAATGAGAACATGATCCGAAGTGGCTCTAGGCAGAGCTCTGGAAATCAAATCTCTCTAGTCTCCAATGACATTCCCAACTTTCATTAAAGAGGAACCTATCTAACTTTGAGCAAGTTGGAATTTCCTAGAAATTGAACCAAGTGTATTGAGCTTGCAAGAGAGAGTGTTCCTTTAATTCATAGCTATTAATGAAATTATTGAACTTTCCTTATACGGGTTTTGATAGCTTGTCAGGGATTGTTTGATTCATTGGTAAAGCGAATTACATTGAAGTCCCCCCCAAACACCAAGGATCATCCCACAATCCTTGAATCCCAAAAGTTCTTCTTATTACTTGGTCCATACACATTCGTTAGTACCCATGTGAAGCCATCATCCACCACTCAAACTTTAGAGACACTATGAAATTTCCTATTAATTCCTCCACTACATCTTCTCTCCAAAAAGTGACAATACCCCCCAAGGCCCCCCATGAAGGTGTAGAGACCCAACTAAAGTTCTCTAGATTTCCAAACACTTCTAGCCCATCTTCTATCAAGTTCAACTAATTTGGTCTCTTGCAACATTACAATATACGGCCTTTCCTTTCTAAGAAGATCCTTAATTAGTCTTCTCTTCCTTGCACTGCAAAAACCCCTCATGTTCCAACTAATGATTTTCATAGGAACATGGAATTTGGAAGCTGCCTCAAGCTACAAGCCCCCATTTATGGATCTTCCTTCTCTCCCCTCTTCCACTAAATTCTAAGTCTCCCTCTATGTCAGAAATCAATCTCTCCACCTCTGTTCTTTTCTTCTTCCTTTGGCTTTTTATTAAACCAAAATCACTTGCATTCACTCTTGAAGTTTTTGAGATCTCCACATTTTCTGGGTTTTCTTCCAAAGATTCTTCGACAAGCACTCCTTGACGAGAACACAAATTTGTCCCCAAATTCTCTCCAATTCCTCCTGCAATTTTCCAAAAGCCAAATCTCCTTCCACATTTTTGCACCCTTCAACCACATTTTGTACTACCCTTCTAGTAGATTGTGTCTCTGGGTTTCCCTCCAACAGTTCCTCTTTCTTCTTATACTCCTCAAGATAAACACATATTTGATCCCAAATATTCTCCAACTCCTCCTGATTATCAACCCAAAATTCCATTGATCCATAAGGAGCTTACAACCTACTTAATGACTAATCCACTAAATTACAGAAATAAGCCATTCAGTTGAGCTGCCTCAGCTGTTACAAAACGGCCTTGGCATAACTCTGGTACTACTAATGTAACCTAGAGTGCATACTTTCTCGATAAGAAAATTAACTAGAAAGAGTTAAAAATATAGGAATTCAATGAAAAGCTTGTACCACATGGAATGAGGCCCCTTCAAATTTAGATTCTTTTTTGTTCCCATGCACAGTAGGGGTAGATTGGCACTGAAGTAATTCTTCAACATTGTCTTGCATTTCAAATTCTTGCTCTTTCTTCTTTCCATCCTGAATAGAAAATCATAATTAATTACAAGAATACTGTAATGTATGGGAAATTTTAAAGGACTTAATAAAACTAAGAGCAATGTATAGGATGAACTTCAAAGTTATTACTATTTTGTTCCTAGCATGATGCTTAAGCTGCTACAGTTCCCACATTGTGTAACTGCATATTGCAAATGCTTTGGACAAGATAGCATTGATAACTCTGAACTACACAGAAAATTCAGGCTTTATATTTACTTTTCTGCAATTCTTGGAAGAGTTATCACGACTATTCACAATCTGTATATGTTCAGATGCAGCAGGTTGTTGTTGTTGCTGTTGTTGTTTCTTTAGCTTATTTTCTCCAAGATCACGCCTGAGCAGGTCTTTAACTTCAGGAGGAACATTTGGGCAGCCTTTTGCATCCTTGCTAGTATGTGCTAGATGTAACTTTATTCGATATACCCCATTAGCACGGTATCTTCTTCCACAAAAATTACACTCAAGTAGCATTATTCCACTTTTTCTGCATTTGCTTATTTCAGTACAGTATTTCCAACTAATGTCTTCTCTCTCACGATACCTCTTTTTATACATAGAACTGGATGAAGCATCTAATTCAGTGTTTGGCATCTATTGAGAAAAAATGAAACATCAGTGAGAATTTTAATACTAATGAATAGGAAATTAATTAATAGATCAAATTAATGATTTTATCAAACTAGAAGGTACAAAGATTAGATTGTAATTAATACAGGAAATACAGATGAGATCTGACACAATTGTGTCATAGACCTTGTGAACTGATAACAATTACTAAGATATCAGGATGTTTTATTAGGGGTGCAAATCGAGCACCTGACTTGAAAATTTTACATAGGATTGAGCCTAGACCTTTGGGCTGGGCTTGCCTAGGTCCCAGGTGTAGCACTTTCAAAAGGTGTCTGCCTAGTGTGCCTTGTGCTTCAGCCCAGGTGCTCACCTTTTTTAATTAATATTGTGTTTAATAATTTTAACATTTTGGTTTTTTTTTTAATTCTTCGGCACTTTTTTGAATTTTTTGTCATTTTTGTGCCTTGCTTCAAAAAGGTGTGCACCTTGCCTTGCCTCGGGATCAAAATGGCCCTTGCAATTCTAAAATACCCCTTCAGCTGTAATCAAACATCCCTATCATGACATTATGTCATTGACAAAATTCCAGTACTACTAATGTAACCTAGAGTGCATATTCCCTACGAGAAAATTGACAAGAAAGAGTTAACAATCATTTTAGGAATTCAATGAAAAACCTGTACTACATGGCATTCTTCAGTTCTGTCTGGCATTTCAAATTGCTCTTTCTTCCTGCCATCCTGAAAAGAAAATCATAATTAATTACAAGAGTAACATGTACCATATGCAAAAGTTAGGAATTGATAAAACCAAGAACAATAGGAAGGATATTGAACTTCAAAGTTGATTCAACTTTTGTTCCTAGCTTGAAGTTTAAGTTGATACAGTTCACACATTGTGCAACTACATACTGCAAATGCTTTGGCAAGATGTCATTGATAACTCTGGAACTACACAAAGAAATTTCGAGCTTTATATGTACTTCTCTGCTGTTTTCAGTAGAATTATCACAACTATCTGTAACCTGTATATGCTCGGAGGCAGTAGGTTGTTGTCCCTTCTTTTGAGCATTTTCTCCAAGATCACGCTTCATCAGCTCTTCAACTTGAGGAGGAACATTTGGGCAAGCCCTTGCAGCCCAGCCAATTCTTGCTAAGTGTACCTTTATCTGATGTATCCCAGAACCACCATTGTATCTTCTTCCACAATAGTCACATACAAGCACACTTCCACGTCTTCCAATTTTTCCATCTTGCACTATAGTACAGTGCTTCCATCCAATATCATGAGGCATCTTTTTATTCGTAGAACTGGATTAAGCAATGTAGTCCAGCATTTGGCATCCCAACTATTGAGAAACATGAAGGTAATGTCTGAGATTTTTTTTTTTTATAAAAGGTAATGTCTGAGAATTTTTAATATTAATGAATAGGAAATTAATTAATAGATTAAATTAATTATTTTATCAAAATAGAAAGGTATAAAGATTAGAATGTATATAATACAAGAAATACAGACGAGATCTGACACAAACACAATTGTGTCAAAGTCCTAGTGAACGGATAACAAAGTATGCAGATACAAAAAATTCTACAGGTTTTATTAGTGTTGTTGTTGTACAACCAAACAATGTGGGCTTGTGTCTATTTAGTCCCTTTTATGTTTTATTTCATTTATATGGGTCTGTGCTTATTATGTACTCAGTTTTCTTGCTGCTGCCCCTTTCTGCATTCTCCTGTTCTTCTTCCTCTTCTTCTTTTCTCTTAAAACTACACTTGACTGTTCCTGCCAACAGTCAAGTGGTCCTATTTTACTGTTGGGAAGCTTTGGAAAAAAAAAAAAAACTAGATCTGCTTGTCGTTTACTGAAGCTCCTTTTAGGGTATTTCCTTGGAAAAGGTCCAGGGAAACCAAGAACAGGTTCTGCTATGCCTGACTAGGGCAAGATAAGCATTGAGTAGTCATTGGACTACTAGAGTGGCCTGTAAAAGGCAGGTCTAGCTACTGGACTGTTAGCAGGAACAGTTCAGGAGAATTTTATAGATCACACAAGTGGGAGATTCAAGTTTCTGTACAGGTTGTTGTTTAACCAAAAGAGAGCACTGGGTTTTGGCTTGTTTCTCTTGCTTCTAGAGTTGAGTTTTCTGCGGGTTTGTGAAGAAGCACAGCTACTTGCTCCATTTTCTTCCCAAGTTGCTTAGTTTCTAAGAGTTGAAATGTCCTCCAACACAAGTAAAGTGACCTTAAATGAGACTAGATCAGGTGAAGGTTTCTACGACATGGAGAACCCTAGCTTTCCCAGCCTTCAAATTACACTTACAAATGTTAAGTTGGATAAATACAACTTCAAGGAATGGTCTATTTCACCAAAACTTCACATTATGAGCAGCGAAATGCTGGGATATATCAATGGACAGGTCAAAGAACCTAGACTGGAGGAACCTACATATAGGAGTTGGTGTAGGGAAAAAGGCACTTATCATGTCATGAATGCCATTTTCCATGACACCTAAGATTGCTAGGATAGTTCAGCACTATCCTACTGCACAAAAGATTTACAAAAAATTATCTAACAAATATGGACAGAGAAAGAACAATGCAAGGGTTTATAGGTTGACTCAAGATATTGCAGCTTTGAATCAAGGGAATATATCAGTTGTAACCTATTTTGCTACTCTTGAAGGACTTCGGAAGGAGCTTGATTATCATCCAACTGTAGACTAGAAAAGCTCCGAGGACAAGAAGATGTATCATAAATAGATTCAAGAGGGGAGGGTGTTCAAGTGCCTTGCTGGCCTTTACTCTTCATATGATAGCATTCAGTCGCAAATTTTGGGAAGAGATGAACTATCTGACCTGCAACATGTGCTTTACTTGATTAGAGATGAGGATATTAGGAGGAAGGAAATAAGGATGGATATTCCCTCACAACAAAACGAACACTTTACCCTTGTTCAGCCACTCAAAAAGGGAGGAAAAGAGGGGATAAGAAAAACCTAGTGTAATCACTATGGGAGAAAAACACACTAGATGTATGTCAAATTTCGTATCCCCGTCTAAAATCAGTAGCTTTAAGGCAGGATAAGAAGCCAAATAAAGGTCATAGATCCTCTGAGCATGTGGCAAGTTTGAATGTAGCTGAGGGATAGTGAAAGAATGCAAGTGCTGGTGCTACTTCTTGTTTGGGACAGAATACTACGACAATTAACTTCCCTGAATTCACAGCCAAAGAGGTAGATGTCCTCAAAATCGAGCTACAGCTCGATTGAAACAATCTTCAATTGCTTCCTCATCCTTTGCCAAGATAGGTATTGCTTTTGCCCTTAGTGCTATTCAATCTATGCTTCGGTCTTAGTCATTGGCTCGGGAGCTTCTGAACACATGATCAACAACTCTTCTTCTTTTTCATCCTATCATCTTGTTTTAGTTCAAGATAGAGTGAGGATTGCAAATGGTTTTTTCCATAATCTCTGGAAAAGGAGATATTTACTTTGGGAAAAACCTCTCACTCGAGTCCGCCTTGCATGCTCCAAATTTTATTACCAACTTACTTTTTGTCTCTAGAATTACCAAAACTTTGGATTGTATTGTGACTTTCTTCCCACCCATTGTGTTTTCCAAAACTGGATGATGAAGCAGATGATTGGGAGTAATGAAGCTAGGGGTCACTACTACTTTTATGAAGACATTAGTTCTGCTCTTCAAGCATCAAATAATTGTAGCAGTGAGTGCAAGGAGTCTAGTACTATAGTTTATCTCTAGCATGCCAAATTGGGCCATTTGTCTCTTCCATTGTCAAGGGTCTTGTTACCATGTTAGTTTGAAAGTTGTTTGTTGAGTCTTTTTTGCAATGTGTGTCAATTATCTAAGCATTGTAAGACAAATTATCCAAGTTTTAATGATGAAGTCACTTCTCTTTTTGATTTAGTTTATTCTAATGTACGGGTCCTTCACCCATTATCTCCATGGATGAATAGTGCTACTTTATTAGCTTTAATGATCATTTTTTATCGAAAATGGTAACTTTATTAATATAAAATTAAGTACAAATGTCAACCCCTAAGCAGGTGTTGAGTCCCAAAAATCTTTATTACAAAAATGCCCAGAGCATACTCTCACTCACAGTCCATTGGAAGCAAGAACCAATCTCCCTTATGGGTTTGATCTCCTTGTCCATTTGAAGCACGCACCAATCTTACTTGTTGTATTGAGGATTTCCCTTATGGGTTGTCTATAAATCCAGGCTCCCGACTTACCTGACTACAGCCAATCAATCAACAATTTAGAGTCTCCCTCTATCTCAATTTGGTGTAGCCCCAATTGTTTGGCTTATCTTACACCTTAAAGAAAGGCCATCACCTCTGCTCTCAACGAGTCCCCCACACCTTTTGCGCCCGAAAAGATAGCCACAATTAGCCATTTTCATCTTTGAATACTCCCGTTATACCTGAAGGGCCTAGGTTACCTCTAGAACTCCCGTCAAAGTTCAGTTTCACTCTTTGTTGTGTTGGTGGGGACCACAATTCCTACACAGTTGGTTTTATGGAAATTGTAGATACCACCACCACCACTCCCCAATTCCTATAAATGTCCTCAATTAAGAAGTCTTTAAACAAATCCAAAGTTTTAAACCATTGAATAGTAATAATGGTTATTCTTTCTACAATTTCCTCCTTGGACTTCTCCACTCCTTTAAAGATTCTATTGTTTCTTTCTTCCCAAACTGACCATAGGATAGTTGCTCCTATGGCTCTCCACATTAATCTACCACGTCTCTTCAATTGCCTAAAAAGGCTTGGGTCAAAAAGGCTTCCCACGTCTGGGGGAGGTGTCCACCTGCAACCAAAGATAGAAGAGAACCAGGTCCAAATAAAGCACATGAATGGATAAGAAATGAATAGGTGTAATCGTCTCACCAGAACCCAAGCAGAGGCTACAAACATGGGATGACAGGCAAAATTTTGGTCTTTTCTTTGCAACATATCTAGAGTATTGATTTTTTGGAGAACCACCTCCCAACAAAAACCCATGTTTTTGGAGGTACAAGCCAACACCAAACCTCCATTTAAGGAAAGCTCCTTCCAGGGTTTGTTGACTGAATGAGGGCATCAAAGAAAGAGGAACAAGTGAATACACCAGATGGGGAAGGTTTCTAAATGCTACTGTCCAAATAAGATTAATCCAGATAGGTTGACCCTAAAAGGGTAACTAATTCATCCACCGTTGCCATTTCCAACTCCCTTAGACTTCTCTTCAGACCTAGGTCCCAAGAATTATCAATAAAAACTAAAGATGTCACCCTTCTTTTACTTTCTAACAGTGAAGAAATAGTAGGGAACCTCTCCAACCCAAACATCTCCCCAAAACAACACTTTGTTTCCTGTACAAGCATCAAATTTAAAGTAAGGAAGGATGGAAGACAATATACCTTGAATAGCTTTCTTCAGAGAGAGCATCGGGAAGCCCCCTAAGGTCAACTCCTACATCCCAACCATTGTCTACCAATCCATGAATGCTAATAATCACTCTATGCCAAAAGTCTATCATGTCCCAATGGCAATCTTCATAACCGTTTCCCCAAAACAACACTTTGTTTCCTGCATAGGCATCAAATTTAAAGTAAGGAAGGATGGAAGGCAATGTACCATGAATAGCTTTTCAGGGAGAGCATCGGGAAGCCCTAGGGTCGGCACTTGCATCCCAACCATTGTCTACCAATCCATGAATGCTAACAATCACTCTATGCCAAAGTCTATCCTGTTCCAACGACAATCTCCATAGTTGTTTCCTCAATAATGTGGTGTTTCTTAGTCTAATATTTCTTATTCCTAGGCCTCCATCTCTACTTCTAGAAACCACCTCCCACTTCACTAGGTGATCGTTTTTGGTTCTCCTAGTTCCCAAAGGAAGTCCCTCATAATCTTTTATAGTTGGTTTACCACTTTCACCGATATCCTAAAGGTAGACAGGAAATCCACGGGTAAGTTGGTCAATGTTGACTTTATTAGGGTTATCCTACCTACCAAAGAAATGTAGTTTCTCTTCCAATTTGCAAGTCTCTTTGTAATTCTCTCAATCACTGGATACCAGAAGCTATCTGTATTTGGATTTCCTCCCAATGGTAGTCCCAAATATTGCAATGGCCAATCCCCTACTTTACACCTAATAGTCCAACTAGCAAATATACCTCTTCACTCCCTAAATTTACTCCTACCACACAACTCTAGCCCCAATTAATTTTAACGTTGGAGATTCTCCCAAATTTATGTACTATCCCTTTTAGGTTCATAAGTTCTTCTACTTTCCCCTCACAAAACAAGATAAATCATCTGCAAATTGTAAATGTGTAACCACCACTTCCTCCCTTCCAACTCTCCAGCCTCTAAATATATTGTTAGCATATGCCCTTATGATCAATTCACTCAGCACATCAGCTACCAAAGTAAATAGGAAGGGGGAAAGAGGATCTCATTGTCTAAGGCCCCTTTTGGAAAGAAAATAAAAAAGAATCTTTCTACTCCATTTCTAGAATTGAGAAGTGACATGAAGAAATGCAGCCCTTCACCCATTTACACCATCTTGCTCCGAAACCCCCAAACTTAAGAATGTCCAATAGAAACTCCCAGTCAACCATGTCATAAGCCTTTTCTAAATCCAACTTACAAACCATCCCTTTTGCTTCTCCCCTCTTCTAAACTCTACATATTCATTGGCAATGAGAACTTAATCCATTATTTGTCTCCCAAAAACAAAGGCCCCTTGATTTGGAGAAATCATCGAGGGAAGTACATATTTTATTCTTAGGGCCAAAACCTTGGAAATGATTTTGAACATTCTTCCTATCAAACTTATGGGCCTAAAGCCCTTTGGCTGGATTGCATCCACTTTCTTTGGTATTATAGCAATGAAAGTTGCATTTGCACCTGAGTTAAATCTGTAACTCAGTCAAGAAGACAATCTTGATAGAATGCCATTGGTATTAAATTTGCACCTTCATCAGGCCACCCCTAATTATCTCACAACAATCTTGATAGAATGCCATCGTAAAACCATCAGGTTCCAAGACTTTAGACCTCTCCGTCAAGAAGACTGCATTTTTCACTTCCTGAACCTCAAATCTTTTTTTCCAAGGAATCCAACAACTCTCTATTTCCAGCCCTCCATTCCAGGCCATCCAGATCTTCTCTTGAAATCTTCAAGCCCTCATAGAGTGTTTTGAAATGGTTCACAAAGGATTAAGCCATTGACATCTAGATTTTTGTCTACAAGTAACCTCCTCTTGTCTTAATATGTCTTCCAGATCCTTTTTCAACCCCTGCCTCTCTTTCCTATCTTCTGAACTCAAAATTCTCTCAGCTTCCTCACCATCCAGTTCCTCTATCTTACAGAGGATTTCCTGTTTTCTTTCTTCAGTCTTTCCAAAATCTCTTTATTCCAAACCTTAATTCTTGATTTCAACCATTGTAGTTTCTTATAAAATCTATTACACTTCCATCTAAACTCCACGTGAGCTTCCTCCCACCACTCCTTCACCTTTGGAAAGAAATCAGGGTGTTGTAGCCACATATTTTCAAATCTGAAAGGGCAAGGGCCACTTCCCCCCCCCCCTTGGGCCAGACTTATTGGGCAATGGTCTGAAACAAGTCTTGATAGTGTTGAGACTATGAATCCCCACCATTCCACTTCCTAATCAGTTGTGAAAAAAAATTTGTCTAACTTACAGCAAATGGGGACCTCTTGAAAATAAGACCAAGTATAACTTTCCCTTTGAATAGGTAAGTCCCGCAACTCAAAGGTCTCTAAGAAGAGGTTAAACTTCCTCATACACATTGTAATCTGGTGGTTTGGGTTGTTTGATTCAGTCAAAAATCTTATGACATTAAAATCTCCCCCCAAACACCAGGGACTCTCCCATAAACCTCTCACTGCTGCTAATTCCTCCCAAAGTCCCTCCCTTTCCTTATAAGAGGTGGGCCCATACACATTAGTTAAAACCCATTCCCAACCATCCACCCTCCTCTTCAACTTTATGGACACTGAATACTTCCCAATTAACTCCTCTAGTACACTCCAACTCTGCATTTTTCCACAAAGTTATAACTCCCCTTGATGCTCCCCAAGATTGTGTGTATTCCCAACTTATATCTCTAGCTGACCATATACTTTTCACCCATTTCCTATCTAACTCAAACAGCTTAGATTCTTGAATCAACACAATGTCTGGTTTTTCTCTTCTCAACAGATCCCTAATCACTCCTCTTTTTCTTGACCCTCTTACAAGGTGTACTTGGATATATTTGATGAAAGAATGAGATGAAGTACCTGAAATCACTATGGTCTTACCGATTCCCATAAAAATATCACCGTCTTCTGCAAGATGATTGAGACTGAGTTAAAGAAGATTAAACCATTTTGTTTAAACAATGCAGTCGAATTTTTATTAGCAACATAGAAATAATTTTATTAATAAATTATAGAATTCTTTCTCAAAAAAAAGGGTACAAATGAAGTTGTGTAGGTGAAAACCCTTTACAATAGTAAACCCCCACTTTATTACAATTGAACCCAATACATTTGTTGTTTATGAACAACCTACTATTTACAATGTTCCAAAGAAGTTTTGGTCTCGTGCAATGCTTATAGCATCTTATTTGATTAACACAATGTCTTCCAGGGTATTGGGTATGAAAACCCCTATTTTGGTCCTTCATTCAGAATTTCAAATCAACTTATGTTCTCCTTACCTCCAAAGATCTTTGGTTGTGTGTGCTTTATACATGTAAAGGATCCTAAAAGAACAAAGTTGGATCCCAAGGCAATTTGTGGAGTGTTTCTAAGTTACTCTCCTATACAAAAGCGGTACAAGTGTTGCCTTTTGTAAGACAATCTTTTTTTGAACCTCCCTAAAATTCTCTTCAGAGGGAGATTAGAGAGGTTGAAGAGACTTCATCTAAGGTTAATCTATTTGTTTCCATTCCTATTCCCCTCTTCCATCTATCCCCTCTATTCCCTCTTGCACAAATGCACCCTCTTCTTCTACTTCTTGTCCAGATGAAACTCCTAGCACACTTGAGGCAACTGCTCCAGCTATTGATGCGAGATAGCTAAGTGTTTATTGAAGAAAGAGGAAGAGAGACCTACTAGCAGATGACTGTAACTGCTTGGATGCTTTCAAATCCAACCAAGGTACTATTCCTCCTACTTCTCCCATTAGTTCTAATTTGGAACCTATTGCTTTATGGAGACATATTCGATCATGGACTATTCATCCTATAAATAAGTTTGTTTCCTATACTCATCTATCTCTTGCCTATTACTCATTTGTTCATGCCTTGTTTTCTGTCTTAATTCCTTCCAACATTGATTATATATGTTGATGATATGCTAGTTACAAATAATTATCCAAAGGAAATTTAGAAGTTGAAATATTTTAGCCTTGGAATTTGAGATTAAGGATTTGGGACCTCTAAGACATTTCTTGGGAATAGAGGTAACTAGATCCAACGAAAGGATCTACATTTTCTGAAGGAAGTATGCCTTCGACTTACTAAAGAAGACGGAAATTAGGGATAAGACCTGCTGATACTCCTATAAAACAAAATCATGCTTTGCAAGAAAGTGATGAGGAGCTTTACCCTAACAAAGAAAGGCATCAACAACTTGTTGGCAAACATTTATATTTATCCCACGCTAGACCTAACATTGCTTATAAGGTTCACATGGTTGGCCAATTTATGCATTCTCCTCAAGTTTCTCATATGAAGGCATTATAAAGAATTTTTAGATATTTAAAGACCTGTCCAGGAAAGGGATTGCTTTTTAAGAAACATGATAAAATTGAGGTGGAAGCATATATTGATGCCGATTAGGCAAGATCTATTGGAGACAAGAAGTCTACATCTAGATACTGCACCTTTGTAGGTTGATAAGGTCCAGCCAGCCTAGGAGACCCGGGTGTGCCACATCATCAGCCCCAAGCCAATGGTGGTCGAAGGCTCAAAGCCACCTCTCAAGCACGTCTACACTAGGAGGTCACGACAGATGAGTTAGTTATGATATTAATAAATACATCTGATTCTAATCATGTGCCTTTGATGTAAGAGCCTCTTATATACCAGCCTGAATAATGAAATGGGGAGTTCAGTTACCCCTGTGGTGAGCAGTTCTCACCAACCAGATCCTCGAAAATGGATGAAAGAGTGGAAAAGATGGAAGGGGAGTTACACAAGTTCATTGGGGAACTCAAGGAGATTAAAGAAGCCTTGACCGCAGTGGCTAGCCAGCGTGAACGGATGAACTCTACAACAACTTGAGATACAAATGAAGGCTTAAGCCAGGGGAGCAGTTGGAAGTAGGGGGGAAATCCATACGACCATACCGCACGGCCAAAATCGATTTTCTTCTCTTCTCCAGTGAAGACCTAGTCTCATGGATTTTCGGAGCAGAACGATTCTTTGAATATAATGAGATTCGTGGCCAACAGAGGGTTGCAGTGGCTTCTGGGCATATGGAGGGGGAAGTCATACTCTAGTATCAATGGTATCAATGGACCAATCCTCATCTCACTTGGTCCAATTTCTTAGAAGCCTTGTGTGCCAGATTTGGACCATCAGGTTATGAAGATTTTGATGAAGCTCTTTCAAAGCTTAGACAAACAGGCTCTATTCAGGAATATCAAAACGAGTTCGAGAAGCTGGCTTCTTGAGTATATGGGAGGCCTGAGAAGTCATTGGTAGGATGTTTTGTTGGAGGACTCCAGGAGGGCATCTTGATCGAAGTGAAAGCTCTTCTACCGGCAACTTTTATCGCTATGGCTAGCCTAGCCCACCTCCATGAAGAATGGTTGAATAGAAGAGGAGGCTGCAATGAAATCCAAAGCCTCTCCTCAAAACACCTCCACTTCGACCTAACCAGAACATGAGTAAGCCCAAAACCAATGGACCTCTGCTTCCTTTGAAGAAGCTCAATTGGACAGAAATGCAGTCTCGCAGGGAACGAGGCCTCTGCTATAACTGTGACGAGAAATTTTCCCCAGGTCACAAATGCAAGAACAGAAATTATTCTTGCTTCAGATGGAGGACAACGACGAGGATTCCAATCAAGAGTGGCCAGAATAAGTTGAGATAGAGGAACGAGATGAGGCTCTAGAAATATCCCTCCAAAGCTTTAACAGGCTGACCGACACCGAAAACAATGAGGGTAGAAGGTAAGCTCAAGAACCACTTTGTTTCAATTCTAATAGATAGTGTCAGTACTTTGAATTTTATTACCGAGTTGCTGGGTCGGCAATTGGGGCTTCTGGTTCAACCCATTGAGACATTTCCAATGCATGTGGCCAATGGAAATTACATGACCTGTAATGGGCTCTGCAATGGGGTTGACCTTAGGATACAGGGAAATCAGTTTAAGGTGGATCTCCACCCTCTGGAATTCCGGAGAACCAACATAGTTCTTGATATACAGTGGTTGAATGATTTGGGACCAGTCATTCATGATTGGGCCAGACTATCCATGCACTTCACTCGAAATGGACAGACATATTGCCTTACAGGTCGTGGCCCAACTTCCCCAAAACATGAGTTAACCAATCCATCATGAAATACTGTCAAATACATGGATCTGCTGGTGTTGATGTATATGGCCCCAGATTGGGAGGGGGTTGAACTTCTTGGACCCAAGACACAACCACCTGTCTCCCAAGTAAAAGGGGACCTCAAACGGCTATTGAGTGTCATGACATTTTTGAAGAACTTAAGGCCCTCCCCAGTTCTAGCCCATATTCTGCTCCCATCCTCATTAAGAAGAAGGATGGAACTTGAAGATTTTGTGTTGACTATAGAGCCAACCGTATTACTGTTAAAGACAGATTTCCCATTCCAGTGATTTTTTTATCAGTAACGACAGAATTTATTAAGAATAAGAAACTTTAATTACGCAAGAGGGGGGAGCTAAACTTTCTCAACTCCCCATTGGAGCAAAACAAAGGATACAAAATTATAAATGAGCCCAGAAGAAAGATCCCCTATTCACCCCTTGCTTGGCTAACCCATCAGCAAGTGAGTTAGCAGTTCTCTTTACCCAACTGTATTTCACCTCAATGTCCCTAGTCAGCCACTTAAACTTTTTTCTTTTCATTGTCATAGTTCCAGATACCAAAGTTATCTTCCTTTAGCCATCTCACCACCACCTCTAAGTCATCTTCAAAAACCACTTTTCTTAGGTTCAACTCCCTTGCTCTTTGGGCACCTTCAAGAGCTGCAAGGATCTCAGCCCTAGGAGAGTCTCCTTCTCCAATAAGGCCTGAGAACATGGCTATAATAAGCCCTTCCTCATTCCTAAGCATTCCCCCTATACCAGAGAGCGCTGGGTTCCTTAAACTACTGCCATCAAAATTCAGCTTTATGAATCCAGGGGGGAGAGAGGTCCAAGAGGGAGAAGAAACCTTACTAACCTGGGCGGAATTAGCTATTTCTAACCAATTTTTCAACAAGTAGGTGACTGGGTTTACCTCAAGCTACAGCCTTATCACCAGAGTTCCTTAGGAAGAAGAGCTTGGATGAAATTCTCCCTCAGGTATTTCAGCCCTTTTTGCATTATTGAGAGGGTAGGAGCTGTAGCCTACCGTCTGCAACTGCCTGCTACCTCTCAGATACACCCTGTTTTCAACATATCACTATTTAAAAAGGACCTCCCACCGGCAACTACAGCAAGCCCAGCTCTCCCTGAATTCACCGAGGAAGGCCCACCACAGGTTGAGCCCCATAAAATACTTGATCAGCATTGGGTACATACCAGAAACACCCTGATCAGAGAAGTGCTAGTGCAGTGGACCCATTTACCAGCAGAGGAAGCAACTTGGGAGATCTACACCTCTCAAGCAGCAGTTCGCCAACATAAACCTCGAGGACAAGGTTTTTTCTGAGGAGGGGGGAATTGATAAGGCCCAGCTGGCCCAGGAGCGCCACGTAACCAGCCCCAAGCTGATGATGATTACACCTGATTCTTTTTTTTTATCAATATGATTACACCTGATTCTCAGGAGACCCAGGTGCGCCATGTCATCAGCCCCAAGCTGATGACGATTACACCTGATTCTCACCATGTGCCTTCGATGTAAGAGCCCTCTAAATACCAGCCTGAATAATGAAATGGGGAGTTCAGTTGCTCTCTCTCTCTCTCTCTCTCTCTCTCTTGGAGAACTGTAGTAAGTAGATCAAGTGCTAAAGTTGAGTACAAGGGCTATGGCTCATGAAGCTTCTGAAGTGCTCTGGTTTCGAATCCTTCTAAATGAGTTGGAGATAGGTGTTACTGGACCTCTAAAAACTCTATTGTGACAACCAAGCAGCAATTAATATTGCCAACAATCTTAT